GCCCCACACATTATTTTCAGGAGCAATTTGGGGCCTCTCTGCTTTGACAATGGCTCACTCTTGTGGCCAGGAGTGGTGGCTGACGTCTGGAATCCCAGCACCTTGGGAGGCCGAGGCAGGCAGTTCACCTGAGGTTAGGAGTATGAGACCAGCCTGGCCAACATACTGAAACCGCGTCTCTACTAAAAATACAAAACTTAGCCGCGTGGTGGCACATGTCTGTAGTCCCACCTGCTTGGGAGGCTGAAGCAGGAGAATCGCTGGAACCCTGGAGGTGGAGGTTGCAGTGAGCCAAGATTGTGCCTCTGCACTCCAGCCGGGGTGACAGAGTGAGACTTTGTCTGAAAAAAAAAAAAAAAAAAAAAAAAAGGCTGGCTCAGGTGGCTGGTGAGTTGGTGCTGGCGAGTTGGTGCTGCTGGTTGGCTGGGAGCTCAGCCAGGCTCGTCAGTCAGTGACCGCAGTTCCCTTGTATAGGCTGCTACGGCTGCTTTGTGGCATGGTGGCTGTGTTGCAATAATAAATGTCCCAAGAGTCTGGCAAAAGCTGCATCACCTTTTATGACCTAGCCTTGGAAGTTGCGTAACAACAGTGTCACCATTATCACAAGCCCACCCAGTTTCAAGGAGAAGGAACATAGACCTTACCTCTTAATGACAGGAGTGTCCAGTCTCATTGTGGAAAGGCATGAGAGATAGGAGGTAACATGGTCATCTTTGGAGAGAACAGTCTCCCACGAAACAAATCCATGACAGAAGATCTCCCATTCCATCACCGTTTGTCTCTACTAAAAATACAGAACTTAGCTGGCTGTGGTGGCACACGCCTGTAATCCCGGTTACCCGGAAGGCTGAGGCACGAGAGTAGCTCGAATTCGGAGGTGGCAGTTGCAGTGAGCTGAGATTACACCACTGCACTCCAGCCTGGCTGATAGAATGAGATTGTGTTGCAAAAGATAAATAATTTTTTTTAAAATTTATACTTAAGTACCCGTCATCTAATAGGAAAATCAGATTCTTTAAAGAAAGAAGATTCACATCTAATTCATATTCCATTTGCATTTGTAGGTCAAAAATGACAATGATAATTTATTCTTTTCCTAAAGTAGCCCATGAATAGTGTCGAAAAATCAAAACAGGCGTGGAAATGATTTGCCATTGACATGGGTGTGTTTCACAGTGCATTCACTGTTTTATACTTTAAGCATTTAATGCATATTAAGCATTCATTCAACTAATAGTCACTGAGTACTGTGTCAGCTGTTGGGTTTACATTAGCAAATGGAGCCAGATACAGTCCTCCCCTCGTAGAACATGTCATATAGTGAGGAAGGTGGGCATTAATTAACACATAATAACCAAATAAATGTGAACTCACAACCTTCTTAGATGTTATAAAGGAAAGGAACTCTGGGAGTATCTGTTGGTGAATCCTGACATAGTCTCCTCTGATGAAGTGCTATTTTGGCAGAGATCTGAAAGGTGGAGGAGACATCATCTTGCCAAGAGACAACGTGAGTGTGTGTCACATCCCTGTGTGGATCCATGTGCAGACATTTGTGGATGCACATACGCCTAGTTCATGGGCATTTCCAAGAAAGCAGTCACTTCTGCTGTCGTTCATTAGTAAACTCTCAAAAAGCATATATTCGTACAAGCCTTAGCAGAGGTCTAAGTCAGCCTTTGTCGTTCATGAAGAAGTACTTAATTTTGAATAATGGTGATGAGTGTGAACAAGTACAATGGATATAAGGGATAAAATATAAGACTAGTTTTCCAAGTATGGTCTAGCAGGCCCTGGAGTCCCCAAAAGGTCCTTTTAGGGTATCTGTGAGGTCAAAATGATTTCTTTATTTTTTTTAATAGAGAATGCAAGCCACAGTTTATATTTTATAAACACGAACTTTTGTATTATAAATACAAAATAAGAAAAGATAGTGGTATGTTAACTGTTATGAGGGGTGAAAACTTGATATAAACTTTAAAAGGCTGCTTTCTGCATCTACATCAATGTAATTTCGTGATTCTCTACCCATTTCATTTATGGAATCTCTATAATCAAATTCTCCTTCATTTTTGTGCCCCTGCATGGGAAGTGGTAGGTGAATACCTGTAGAATACAGTCTCTTGTCTTCTCCTCCACTCGGAAGGAGCCCTGTGTCTGTTCAGTATACTCTCAGAACTTTGTCTTCATGAGCAACCAGATCATAGAGAAGAGCCTTACAACTTCTTGTATCCCACAGCTAGACAGTGTTATTTATATAAGGATCCTGAAACCAGCCGCTGTTCATGGGTAGGAGACCATATTACTGTTGTCTCCCAACCAGTATGTGAGGTTAGGGACAGCAAAACCAAAGAACCATCTCAGTTTGGGGATCCCACAGTCTGATATCCCTTTCTGTGCCTCCAGATGCTAAACATATGCAAAGTGGAGAATGGGAAATACAATTAAACACTTTATTTCCTGTAAAGTGAACTTAAGATTGCCAGACACAACATCCCACACACTAATTGTATGGTCCCAAGATGCACTGCAGATTTCTTTAGCATCTGACCACAGAACTGAGGAAGTTGCTTCCTTGTGGCCAGAGAGGGTCAGTATGGGAGTCCCTGTTAGTCCCAACTACTCTGTTTTCTGTCTCCTTCTTGGTCAATTTGTGGATTCCTCCATTTCATCTTCTTCTGTAGGGACTGTAGATCAGATCCTTAGGATCTTATCCCAGGAGCCAATGCAAAATTTAGTTCCTGAGCTATCAACAGTGGTAGAATGGACACTTCCAGCATGACCTGGGCAACAGTGTAGGGTTTTCACTTTGTTTCTTTTGGCATTCCACTCCCGTAAGAATAGTCTGATCCATGGAGGCACTCAGTAATAAGCAAGACAAACTGTCTTTTTTCACCCAGGCCCCATCTTTTACAACATCCATATGTTCCACAATTGTCAGTGTTGACTTTCCTTCTAAGGACCAGATCTGAGAAGCCTTTTATCATAAGAACCAGTCAAGATCCATACCTCTGCCCCTTAAATTGGACTGATCCCGTCATCGTGGACACATTGCTCTGGCTGGGGTACTGTCTACTTCTCCATGTATTCTATTTCCATAACTTCTTCTGATGAGATGTTCTCCAGTTCCAAGTGTTTGACCAAGGACATTCACGGAAACTGACCTGAATAAGAAAATCAAACTCCATGTAATTGTGGAACCCATTTTTATCCTTCAGTAATTTATTGATGGTGTTACTAAGGTCAGCACTTTCAGAGACAGCAGAGATTGAGAAGAACACATCGACGCCTCTTTCTTGTTGTCAGTGTAGAAGCGTGTTTGGAGCTGAGCCACAGCAGGGAGTGCACACAAGACTTGCCCACAGAAACATATGGGTTAGTAAGCTGAGAACCAGAGCTGCTGTCTCTTAGGACTATGAAGAGAGAGCTCAAAATTAGACTGTACAGGAGCGAGAAGCTGCAGTCTAATCCTGGACTCTGCTTTCTCTCCTTGGGTCTCCTCCCAATTTTCATAAGACTGAGACATGATTTGCCTTTTTTCTCATTCCTTTTCTCAACGAGTATCAGTGTTTTCCAGAGACTAGGTGATGTGGTTGATGTGATTTATCTCAACACATTGAATTCAGAAGCATACATGAAAATTTAGTTATCATCTATTAAGCCTGACATTAAAAAGCTCTGCAAAAATGTGAAAGAATGACATTCTTCTTGTTAAATTGTTTTTAGTTTTGGAAAATACGGTTATGTTTCATAGCGATGTGTTAACGTGTAATGGGTTCATTATTTTTAAATGAATTTAAAAGTATTTCTAAAATTTGTTTTAACTCATAATATGGCATTTATCTATAGATAGAGTCCACATAAAAGGTTTTTTTGGGGGGGTTGCAATAATTTTTTAAAGTATAAAGGGGTTTTGAAACCAAAAAGTTTGAGAATGACTGAAATGTGGCATTCAGCTTGACTTTAGGCATGTTACTTAATCTCTCTGAGACTCTATAAAACGGGATGATGATCAAAGTACTTCCCTCATAAAATGATGAAAGGAGTTAATATATGTCATGAGCTCCTAACAATACATGGTGCAGAGTAAGCATTCGATATATATTAGCTTTATTATCATGTTTAATGTGAAAGCAGAACTTCCGTGACTCCAAGCATGACTGAAGCACAGTTGAAGAATTCTTGGTTGTTTTTGGAGCCATCTGTATTGTTTTTGTAAAACAAAATACTCCAAAGGGAAAGAAATTGGATTTTATGATTTTTCTTTTGAGTTGAGATAGAACAGGGGTTTTTATTGGCAAGTGGCGAGGGTGTGGAAGCGTGAAGTGATGTAGAGTCGGAACACCTTGAGGTCCGTTTTCAACACCTCCCCTGCTTGCTGCACTCCTCAACCATCAGCCTTACAACCAAGGTTCTGCTGTGTTCAGAATCATGGAGAACAGGTGGCAGATTTGGAAAGCTCTGCAGAGACCGTGGTGGGCATCAGGGCTCCATACTCTTAGACCCAGAGCCGCAGGGGGGGGCTGACAATAAGGGACATCTCATTCAGTCCCCACACTTTTCAGATGGAGAAGCCAAGGCTCAGAGAGATGAGTGGCCCACAGCCGCTCCCCCGGCGTAAGAGAAACCTAATCAGGATGAGAACCAGAATTTCCCTGACTTGTAATGGAAAGGATATGAGGCTTAGAATCAGAACTGGTTTTAGCCTCAGTCTGAAGCCTTAATTGGTTGTCTGATATTAGCAATGTGTTTAAACCTGATACTCAGTATTCTTATTTGTAAAAAGGAGGCAAAAATATCTACCATCCCAGGGTTATGAAAAGGATCAAATGAGGCATCGCATGAAGGTCCTGGGACACTTTGAGTTGGTATCTTTCTGGTCCTTTCCACATAAAGTCCATAGAGAGAACTCCCCAGTGAAATACATAGTTCTTTGCAAAAGTGTCTTAAATATTGTGCTTTGTGGCTTTTGTAACATTTTCTTTTTTCTATCTTTTTAGGACAGCCCAGAAACTTGCAGGACCTGTGCCGAATTAAAATTCGACAATGTATAGGCCTTCAAAACCTAAAGCTACTTGATGAACTACCAATTGCCAAGGTCATGAAAGACTACTTAAAACACAAATTTGATGATATCTGATATGCCAGAACTGTGAGCAAGATTAGGAGTTATATTTCAGATACTTAAAAGGCTTTTTGCCTTGCACACAGTATATCCTATGCAATTTCTGATTTGCTGTGAAATCAGAAAGCAGGTATACACTTTTGGGTTTTCTGTTTGTTTGGTTGGTTTTCATTGTAAGGGAGGGACTTTTTTATATATATGAAAACACACACCACATGCTTGAAGGTCTTAATTGGGTTTCTTGGTCCAAGTTTAAGAGGTCCAAGCTTTGTATACAATACTGCATTTAGAAAAATGGTTGGTTTTTTTTTTTTTTTTTTTTTTTTTCTTAAATGACACAAGCAGGTTTGGAGTGGAGAATGTACCCTTTCCAAATTTCTGGTTTCCTTGGTAAGCATGGTATTCTAACCCAGCAGAGCACTTGCTAACGTTTGGAGGCACAGTTTCACCCAGGGGGGCCCTGGGTTCCTCTGGAAGATGCCCTAAGAAATGTTTAAAGTAATGCTGTCACCTCATTCATTTTTAATGAGTACAAATTGACTGTTTCGAACTGTTCTTTTTCCTAATTAATGTAGCTTTCGGATGACATAAGTCCAGTACCTCTGCTTTTCTTTTGGTGTGCTCTTGTTTTTAATTTATTATTTTTAACAGCTGTAGTACACTACCCTGAGACATTATGTCTCGATTTCTATCTCTAGTTAGAGTTGTGCTTTTAAAAAAAATTGACAGGAAAGAAAATAACTTTACGAAGCCAGTGTATTCTGTTTTTAAAACTGTGCCTGCAGTGCAATACTCTTTCTGGTGTATTTTATCCATTATTTCACAGCCAGCTTTGACAGGCCCGTGAGAACAGGAGCCGCCACTTTAATTTTCATTGCAGAACCATAGTATGTCAGTAGCAATTTCCATTTTAAGCTATGCGTTTTACTTCACTTTAAGCAGAAAATTTTGTACTCTGGTGGTAGAGTGTTCCCTAAAAATTGTTAAGTCATTTGGCTTTAATGGTTAAATAATTTGAGGTGGCTTCATGGTGTTTCTTTTCTTCCCAGTTAAAAAAAAAATACTTTTTAAGGGTAAAATCTTTAAGGGGTACACATTTATAAGTCTGGCTAATTTCTAATATGCTAATTACAACATTTCCTGTTTTAAGGTTATATACAGTGAGGCTCTTCAGGACGATTATTTTCTGGATTGCTTGGGCATATGTGATGTAAACACAGATAGGATAAAGTGTCAGTAACAATGGAAAAGGTTCCAGAGGCATTAGGCATCTCAGAGGATGCCCTCCGAAACGTTTTCTGTGCTTGATTTGTGTTAATAGCTTCAGAAAAATCTTTTCACATGTCCCAGTGTCGTTCTTAGTGCTTTGGGAAAAAAATACTTAAACACTGTTAATAAATTTGTTATCAGAAGTTTACAAGATGAAGGGTTTCTCTCATCTGAATTTCTGGATTTCAGTCATAAAGTGTAAAATGATTTCACCTAGAAGTGTAACTAAGCGGAATTAGGAATCTTCTCTGGCCTTACCTTTTTCAGAGCCAGCATGTGCTGTTTTCTCAAGCACGGGGTTTGTTCTCTCGGGTGCAGAGTAGCTGTGGCTTCATAGACTCTGATCTGCCTGTGCCCAGGCATTGCCCAGGTTTCTGAAGACGGGCAGCTTCAGAAACAAGGAGTGTTTGGGAGATTGCTGGTGTGGCCCATAGACTCTTTGGCATAGCCCCTTTCACAGGCAGCCAGTCTGAGTGTGGCCAGTTTTATAACCATCCTCAAACTAGCCAGAGCCTGATGGATAGGAACAGGTAGTCTGTCCTTTTCCCCATAGAAATGTCTCCAACAAGTTATCTCCAGAGAGAGTCCCTTGTGAAGACAGCTGCTGAGCTGTATTCTCGTTCTTTCCACCAATACCCAGGTCAGGGCTAAGACACACTAGCAGTGTTAGGGACATGGTGTGGCCAGAAATGAATTGAGTGTTACTTCTCCCTGAAACCCCAGGCCCAGGGAGATGAGGAATCAGGAGGGTGTCTGGAGTTTCTGCACTCTGATCAGTGATGTTAATGTTACACTTGCACAGGGCTTATTTCCACAGATGTGTGTGTGTGTGTGTGTGTGTGTGTTTGTGTGTGTGTTAATTTGTTCACTTAGTTTAAAATGATTTTCTCTCCCCAGCCATTCAAAGGTTTCCAAACTAAGCCACTGAGTTTGAGTCAGGGAATTCCAAGTAAAAAGATCAGATTAAGGTAAATTCTTTGTTCTGTATTGCTGCTGTGACTTCAGAAAAACAATTATGAGAGCTCTTCCTGGAAGTCTGAAATTTCTGTTTAATGAAGAAGTGTATAATTCCATTATTTATTGTTTGAGGTTTGATTTATCTGAAAGCTTAAAAAGAGTGTTTTATTTTTGTTGTTAATAAAATCCCAATCACATACCGCATTTCACAATAATTAAAGTGTCTCCAAGTTGGTTGCTGGTGAATTACAGTGGTGAAACCTGCAGGTCTGCATTTGAATTGGATTGACAGAGAAGCATTCTGTGGTCACATAATGAATAGAGAGAACAGGTATTTTCAGAAAAATCAACTGGTTGTTTTTTCCAGAAACAGAACAGAAGATGTTCAGAGTATTTTCAAATTTGTCACTGATTCTTTTATGTTTCCTTTGAAATTTATTATTTAAGCCTATTACTAAACCTTTATAAAAATATATTTGGCAAGTACACCAAAGAAACCAGCTCATAAAAGATTATGATCATTAATGAACTGCAAACCTCATCTTTCGAAAACAAGGTTTTGTGTTTTTTTTTTTTTTGTAAATATTTGTGTTTATAAATGTACAGCAGAGTAAGAGTGCTTTTTAGATTATTTAAATCCCGTATTTCTAAACTGTTTACTACACAGTAATCCATGCCTGTTAGTTTGGAGGACTTGACTGTTTCGTTTTTTAATCCATTATCAGTCATGCTTGGAACAGCATTTCCACTAGAGAATTCAGTGTCCTGGCAGTAGCAAGAGTACACATCTGGAGCATGAGGGAGTCTAGCATGATTTGTCAGATGCACACCCTACGAGACAAGAATGTGTAGTTTAATTACCAGAGTGGACCGTACGCAATTGAGATTCTGATTCCTGCAGAAGTGCTCATTAGCCCAGAATGTGATTGGGATAAGGCCATTTGCCCACAAATTTAGCTTTTCATGTAACTCCTAGTGTGTTATATCATAATGTATTTTGTTCTTCCTTTTTAATGTAAGTTTTGCTTTGGGTCAATTTGAATTAAAAAAAATCAAATCTGATTTAAAACATGTTGGAGTTGTGTTTTATTAACAGTCTACCTTAACTTTTTAATATGTCTAGCTATTTGGTGAAAATAAATAAAAATCTATCCTTCCTTCATCAGCATTTTAGATCACTGGGAATTGTTTAAGAATACGATGATGTGAAAACAATACCGCTCTACACTGTCACCGGATAAGCCAGTTCTTACCCTCCATTAGTTTTTTTTTTAATGCATTCTGCAAATACCAACCAACAAAGGATGATCACAATGTTGAGTGTATTGACCCAGCACTGGGCCTTCTTGGGCCTAATCACCACCGGCCGCGTGCATGCCACACCTTGACTGAGGACAGGATTTGGACCTCAGTGTTTCTAAACGTAGGACAGTACGCAGTCAAAGCAGTGAATCTGAGGGAGTTACCCTGCAGGAGATGAAGCAAAACAACTTTGATTTCATATTTCCTCTGTAAAACATAAGCACAGCTTGATTCAGGAGAGACCTGAAGTGAATATGAATGATGGTGTGCTGCGGGGGGGGAGGGACTGCTTAGCGCCCCACGCAGAAATGGGATGTTTTGGAATTACAGTCTTGTTGCAGCCTTGTCCAGGGTTTGGCACGAATGAAGGCCAGGAGTAGGACATTTGAAACCATTTCTAATGATCAGCAGGGGAGCTGAGCTTTGAAAAATAGCTGTGTTGCTTGGAAACCTTGAGATCATTCCTTTTCCAATATGATATAAGTAGTGTATTGTTTTCTCAGCCAAAAGACAGTTTCCAAAAATGGTTTACAGCTATTGATAAAACATTATCTACTTGATTAAAAAAAAAAAACAGTTCCACATCTCCTGTATTTGGATACTGAAGATGAAGGAAAATGGATTTGTATCCTCTGCCTCTATTTATGTAACTTAATGTAACTATATGTGCTTAACTGAAGGAGTAAGAGTGAAGTTTTACAAAGTTTTGATGTTAGAACTCAAGATCCAAAGTTACTAAGATACAAAGGTAATTTTTCCTTATCTTCAGTTACTTTGTTATTACCTGTTAAATAAAACAAAGGGTCAGCTAGCATATGGCCTCCTGGATCTCATGACTTCTCTTGTATGCCCCTGGCAAATAGTGTTCCACACTTTGTAATATATTTCCGGAGGACCATGGCACATTTGATGGATATTTCCTTATCTTCCAGAAGAACTCCATGTTAACCTTCTGAATCACGTTTGAAAAGACTGAGGTGATTTGTGTATGGTTGTAACAGATCACGGGTGTGGGAGTAAAACCCTGAACTGGCCCCGTTGGCCTGTGCTTGATCCCTCACTGTCCTGAGCGAGTGTCTTACACTAAATGTGTACATGTGATCTTCAAGTCTCCTTTATTCCACTGTGCCTAGAGCACCTTGTGCTGCCTTTCACTTGTGTATCTGCAAGGCACGGGGCTGATTCATTCTGGCCTGTAAACCGTTAGAAGTAAAGGGTAACATTCAAGCACAGTGTTTCTCTTCTTTCGCAGACGTGACCTTTTAAAAACGTCGTCATTTGTAGTTATAAATTATTTTATTTTTGAGACAGAGTCTCGCTCTGTCACACAGGCTGGAGTGCAGTGGCACAATCTCGGCTCACTGCAACCTCCACCTCCCATGATTGTCTTGCTTCAGCCTCCCAAGTAGCTGGGATTATAGGCATGCACCACCATGCCTGGCCTATAAATGTATTTTAAATCTTGACTCCGGTATCTTGAAAATCTCACTTGGAACCTTTGTTTCCTTTTTATTAAAGCATTGTTTTAAATTAAAAGTGGAATGTTACATTACATTGAGAAGTAATGAAGTGATTCACTTTTCTGTGAAATCGTAGTTAACGAATCAGAACAGAGATGGCTGAATTTGGACAATGGCATTCAGTTTAGTTTGAGAAATTTGCTTATGTGATGAGTAGACTGACCCTTTGTGACTGACACAGTACTCCAGCTGCAGAGATTTCCTATTTTATCTGGCAAATGGAGTCATATTTTTCTTGCTGCTCAAATTTGAGCTAATGTTGCTTTTCTTCCTCTGCTAGTTTTAGGTCAGGTCACTTCTTAGTTTTCTTTTTCTTTACCAGAAAAAAGAACACTTGTGGGGCATGGACTTACTGTACATGACCATTTTAATTTTCTCGAGAGAGTTTCTAGATTTTCCCTCTCTTAATTCTGGTCACTTAACCCTTTAGTGAAATACAAGCCTGTGTACAAGGTGTAGACTCAGGTTGTTTTAGCGTGCTACTTTAGAGTTCCCAAATGGCTTATTTCCTCTGCCTTACCTTCCTCTGGTAGAAACGTAGCTTATCATTTTGGAAGAATGCCTAATGAGTTGGCTACAGCCATTTTTCATCTTGGGTGGTACCAGAGAACAAACTGCATTTCTTCCTGCTTTGCCACTGGTGCTCTTAAGCAGTCATTTGCTATGAGTTCACTGGGCAGAGAGTTCCTTGAAGACAGACACTGGGTCTTACTTGCCTGACCCTCAAACTGTATTTGCCAAAAGAATTCATTTTCTAGGGCTTTAGTGAAGCATGCGGCATTTGGTCCCTAGCCTGTTAACTTCATTCCTTCAAGACTCCAAGGAAATGAGGGCCAGGCCATTCATAGCTCTGTCTCAGGTACGTATGGCCCTCCTAATTCCTGCCAGTATTGCCTTTTGCTCTTCTTCTTCCCTCCGTCTCCCTTCAGCTTCCCTGCCATCAGCGTCACCTGGCAGTGGAACTAGCTACTGGTCTCCTGTGGGCACTAAGACCTTCAGGTGAGACCATTG